CTGTCCCATGACAATCCTGTCCCATGGTAGCTCTTAGAGAGTTCTTGACGAGAGCTAACTTGCTAAAAGATCTCTCGCTTTCAGCCACAGATATTGGCAAAGTAAGAAAGATACGAAGACAGATGCATATATGGGTGAAACGCTTCACAACAAACCTATTTTTGATATTATGCGTTGCTAGGTTTGTTGTGAAGCGTTTTTTTTTCTCCTTCTTTTTTTAACAAAATCAGTTTGAAACCAAGGTTAGTAGCTACTTCTTTTGACTTGTCCAAGAAGGCATTCCATGAGGAACGAATTCACATTAAATCTTCAATCAATCTCTCTATAAGTTTCATCTCGCCAACCAAGTTGATGCTGCAGGATTGAAGAAGGACGCTAGCATTGTTCACAGCTGTTAAAGTTTTGAACCAGAAGGTAGTAAAAATTACAAACTCAAAGGACTTTATTCACTTGAGAAGAGAACGTACTACATTTAAAACGTCAGCAATGAGATACATTTCTTTCAGTTTTTTCAAAGCTTTGATTATCTCTCTCGATCTCTTTGAAAGTGGCTTTTTAGATTCAATTCGAGCACTCTCTCTTGTCTGTAAAGTTTGGTGTAAAGAAAGGCCAGCAAGATCCTGAAAAATTTTCCAACGTGTGGGGTTTTTGCTGAAAACATTGTATAAAAGCTGGTCATTTCCAAAGTATGACTTAGACAGTACAGATGATTCCGCAGCGTGAACCCAACATATATTGAGGCTATGAGCGGCAATTGGTAGATAGACTGTTTGAGGATTCTTCTGTTTAATCAAGGCTTGAACGCTTTTATAGGTTCCATCCATATTTAAACCATTATCGTATCCTTAACCTCGATCATCAGTAAGAATCAGATTTTCAATGTTGAGTCCTGCCTTTTTCTTCATTTCATTTAGTTTTAAAAATTGGTACTACTGTTCCCACTGTCGTTCCTCACTAAGGCAAAGGAAACGAAAAAGGAAGCAGATCTGTTTACTGGAAAAGAAAAAGGAAGCAGATCTGTTCACAAGAAACAATGGAGGCTACACAATTGATGAGACTTGATTTTTCTAACTAAGATCCTCCAATTGTCTTTGATACTGTGTGAACGGTCCGGCTTTCCGTCAGTTATGATAGTGTAGTAGATGGTCTGATGTATTTCTTTCATAGGCTCAAGTTTCACCAATTTCCGACACTCTCCAAGAAAATTATTTTGCGAACGCCAAAATAAATAGTAGGCCTGTGAACGCTTACCTTCTTTTTCTTTTTTAGCAACTGCTTTTAAGTAATCCGCAACTGTCTTGTTGTGTTAAGCAACCAGTTCTAAGGCACTTAGAAAACTGTCGTTTCCATCCTGATAGATCTTGTGATTAGATTCTATTTATAGAATATTAAATTTTAATTAATAAAAGGTGAAAAGAGACTAAAAAAGAAACTTTAATAATTTTTAAAATATCAAAATACCTCTGAATGCGAGATTGAATGATGCAACGGAATGATGCAACGGAAAATACCTTTCCAGCGCTCAGTTTTGTTTGCAATAACTTTCTCCAGGCTTGAATCAACCTTTAAATAGTTGCGCATGTTTTTTAGTGCTGTTTTCCATTCTAAATACGTTTGGCGATGGAGGCTACACGATTGACAAGACTTGATTTTTCCCACTAGTTTACTCCAATTGTTTTTGATACCATCTCTCCATAATAACAACGACGACATGTTGTCTTATGTGGGAAAGAAAGCGATCTAAAAAGAGAACAAGAGAAGCAGAAAAGGGCGGCTGCCAATTCACTCCATAAGCCAGTCTCTTTTCAGTTTCCATTTTTGTAACATTTCGGTAAATACTGATGTTGGAAAGGTGTGGTTCCTTGAATCCTTTGGAAGGCCTGCATGACTTAAAGGAGGGCCTATAAAAACGATGGTATCTCTATCTTTATTTGGTAAAGCGATTCAAAGAGCTGAGTCGTTAGATGTGTGATTGATTAAAATGGCTGGAGTAGAATCCATCTTGTCTATGCCACAGTCTTCATTATCCACTTCACGAAATGTTTATAAATAAAAATGAAAACATAAAACATCTCTTAAATAATGGAACTTTTTTTGAATTATAGAAGAATGTTATACCTGCAGAAATGTCATCGTTTTTGATGAGGATTGCTTAATAGTCCTTAGTAGCTTCAGTTAGCCTGGCCTGGTCAGTTTCACTGACGGTAATCGCATACATCTTTTGATTTTCAATGATTATCAGAAAGACTGTTTTGGCTCTGGCGCACAGAATGCACTAAACTAACACTCCAACTATCCTTACACAATAGTTGTGATTTGTAAGAGAGATGTGTTGGATCACTACTGCTTTTAGAATCAGATTCAACTCTTAAAGGCTATAAAAAGAAATATCTTTGAATATATCACAAATATAAAATTTGACATTAAAAACAATTAAGCAGGAATGTTATCTGATTATTACACATAGGGAAACTCTTTTTTCTTACTGTTATTTTTTACAACTAGCTCCCATCCAAGATTTTTGAGAGCCCGCTTGTTTTTTTACTCTCTTTATTTTTCTTCCTGTTGCACCTGATGGATGCTTCCGTTTGGTTGAAGAGTTGGTTGTAGACTGATTGGTTTTCATTTCATATTTGGGCATATCATAGAACGTAAACACTGAATTCAAAAGGAAGGAAAAAATATATGGTCTTTAAATAGAGAGTCATCTACCGTAAAAATGGTCTTAGGAATCAGTAATCGGGTTAACCAGATTGAATCCAAACAAAATCAAAAATTGAAATATGATAACAAACTGAACATTTTTTATTTCTTTAATGGATGTTTTCAACTTTTTATTTGGTATACTGAAAATTTTTTGTCATCTGCTGATGCCCCCACAAACGTGACGCCGACCCGGAACTCCCACCCTCTGTGCGCCCCTGCCCACACACCATCCCCCTAAAATTGTCTTTTTATGCAATATGTACGCATAAAAAATCTTTGTTTGTTTAAGGTCGTACACCCCCATTCAAAAAATTTTCTTTAAAATACTCAAAACAAAATTAATAATAATAATATAAATATCACACAAGTTAAAATAGGTATGCTTATATTTTTCTATATATGAAATCTTGATTTCATATTTAGAAAAATACAAACTTTTGCCTCACTTATCCCATAAAAATTACGCCAAAGTGGGTATAATTTAAAACAAGATATCTCTATTTTTATTAGTCATTTAGTTCTAAAATTTTCACATTATGTTCCTGAAATATACAAAGAGGTTATGAACCAGAATCATGCATTGAAGATGTATAGAGCATTTTAAAATTAACATTTAACAGATTTAACAAAAAAATTTAAAATTTTTACAAAAAAGGCAAGAAAAAAAAGGTATTAAATATACTTTGACACCTTATTTATTTGTAATTTTGGTTCATTACCATCAAAGTCAAACAATAACAAAAGCACCCTGAAAATTTCAACTTAATATAAAGTCGCAATCCGAAAATATCATGTTTTAAAAATTACATATTTGCTAAAAATGACGTTTTGAGAAAAATACAAAAAACAAAGAAAAAATTCGTTACATTACAAAAAAAGCATGAGCCCATTAAAAAAATTCACTAAACATAAAGCTCATAATGAAGAAGAAGCTGAAGTATAAATAAGATACTTTTGTTGAGAAAGATATTGTAAATAAGATATTGTTGTTTTAGCTTCAACAAGTTGAAATTTTCTTATTTAAAAATGCGTTGCTATGGTGTTTCTATGGACCTCAAAACGCTATAATGGCCAAAGTACACACATTTTTACATACTTATTTTTTACTTAAAAAATCATAAATATGTTCTATGGACTAAAAGTATCAATATTTAAAAAATTAAATTTTTGAAATATTTTTTTAAATTAATGGGGGTGTACCACCACACTGTACAAAAATAATACTAAATAAAATTTATTAATCTGAAAAAGACTTTATTCTTTGTATTTTTTATGAATATTTTACATTGTAATCGAGAAAAGTAAAAGCTAGAAATATGTTATACGCAAGCTTAAAAGGCAAGCAAACACTGAAAACATCTAATTTGTTGTTTTACAAAAGTAATCCAAGTAAAAGTAACTTATAACAACGTGAGCGTTTTATTGGTTTTTTAAAAAAATGCATGATTCTTAAATTGCTTAAAAAGTATAACTAAAAGATGTGCATTTTTTGCGTGTGGGTCTTTATTATTTTATATTTTTGTTGAAATATTTAAAGAATACCTAAATACTACGATAATAAAACTATATAATAACTATGTAGTTTATTGGTATAAAAAATTTACCGAAATTTTTATGGACAAAATAAAAAGACGCGTGTCTTATGTTTCCTTAATTAAAGTTAGCTAAAAATTTAATTTATTTTTTATTGCAAAGCTACTCCCTCATACTTAATTTTGATATCTTAAGATTGTATTTTTAATTTTGAAAATATTGAGAAACAGTTACAAATGTGAGTTTAAGTTTGGTTTTGGAACGAAATTAAGTCATGTTGCCCAATTTATTTATATATTTGTTATTATTTTATTTTAAAATATTATATTATTTACAATATTCATTTTATAAATAAACACCTCTTATACAACTTTACGAGTTTCTTTATTACGCACAGACGTTTCGCAACACCACAATTGTTAAATTATTTACGCTCTTTCAATTAATTGAAAAGTTTGAAATAAAATAGTTATAACTTGTAAGAACATTTTGTTCATTGGTTTTTTAGTGTTTGTTTTATGCTCAAATTTTTCCGATAACTGTTCACTTTTTCCGATATGTCGCACAATGTTTATTAAACAAACATTTAAACATTATAGGTTTAAAAACGGATGGAATAGTTTGACGAAAAAAATTGTGTAACGTAAAAAAAGTTTAATATCGTCGTTCAAAGGAGCTTGTATAAAAATATTTTCTATGTAAATTATAGGATAAACTTGAAGCATTTTTAATCTAAAACATTAACTTTGATGTTCCTATAGTTACTAGTTACGTTATCACTAAAGAAAATAAACAAAAATGGTTGCTGAAGTGCAATTAAGTTCGAATTCAGCAGACGAATATTCTGTGAGCATTTGCCTTCCGAATAGCCCGCAAGAAAAGGTATCAAAAGTTTTAAAACCAACAGAGCGTGTTCATTTAGAATTTATTAATCTCACCGTTAGTGTCAATGATAAAGAAATTTTAAAAAATGTCAGTGGTGAAATAAATCCAGGAGAAGTTTTAGCAATCATGGGACCCTCAGGTAAATTTGAATTATAACTAATAATTTTCCAATACAAGCCTCTCTCTCTCTATCGATCTATCTATCTATCTCTCTCTCTCTCTCTCTCTCTCTCTATATATATATATATATATATATATATATATATATATATATATATATATATATATATTATATATATATATATATATATATATATATATATATATATATATATATATATATATATATATATATATATATATATATATATATATATATATATGTGTGTGTGTGTGTACACACACACACATACACACACACACACACACATATATATATATATATATATATATATATATATATATATATATATATATATATATATATATATATATATATATATATATATATATATATATATATATATATATATATATATATATATATATATATATATATATATATACATAATATGAAACAAAACTCATAGTCATAAATATATATACACACACACACATATGTGAGAGTAAATTCACGATAACTTAACTTTGGATTGGCTCTTACTACGCAAAATGCATATATTGTTTTGCGCTACATAGTTTTTTTTAAGCTTCTGGAGCCTGCATGATGTTGGGTGCCACCTACAGTTTTAAATATTACCAAATTATTTTCAAGTAAACTTTTCCATCTTCTTGCTATTTCTCTCTGATCATGGAGCTATTCTTAATACCTATTATTTTCCATTTGTTGTTTCGATCTTAGTTTTAGATCTTATAAAGATATTTAAAAAGTTTTAGATGAATCATCATAAGCAACGTTATGTAACTTTTATAGAGAATTGTCAAACAAATATTTAAATAATAAAATAACTATGAATAACAGGTGAGTTAAGAAGGCAGAATGAAAATTAGTTTAAAAGTTTGTGCGCTTATTTTTTTGTACAACACTTTTCGATATATTTTTATTATTTTTTGACAAAGTAATTAACAAATAAAGTGAACTTTTTATTGACATCCTATTTGTAGATAAATAGTTTTACATGTGCTACAAAATAATTACTTTTTGTTTCTAGCAAATATGATTACTTTTTTATAAACTTGAAAAAATAAAAATAAATAAATATTTTACTGCGTCTGTAGATATTTACAAAAATTTGAATGGTTGGAGCATCGTAACAAAAAAGTCGGAAAATTTTGGCCACAACTGCCCCAAATGTGAGAGCAACAAGTTTATAAAATATTTTTATATTCTTAACTATAATTTATATTCATCTATAATTTTTAAATTTCATTAAACAGTTTTTTAGCGTTCAAAAATTATGACCATTTGGGTCTTCCTCAAAGAGGAGGGGGGGGGGTTAAACCTTATATGATCATAATTTTTGAACGCTGCGAGAATTTGTAAAATTCAAAATTTATCAATCAATATTAATTTAGTTAATAATAGTAAAAGAAGCATTTTTTCAACTTAATGTTTTCATGTATGGGACAGTTATGGCTAAAATTTTCGGATTTTTTTGTTACCAGGTTCCGATGATCGCAAGTTTTTTTAAAGCATTCTTATTTGACGTAAGCATAAACATATAAATATTTTGAGTTTGCTCCATGTCTGGAAGTGTCTCAAACACAAAAAAAAGGCTGGATCCACCCCTGATATATATATATATATATATATATATATATATATATATATATATATATATATATATATATATATATATATATATATATATATATATATATATATATATATATATATATATATATATATATATATATACACACATATATATGCATGTGTGTATTTATATAGGTGCTGGAAAATCTACACTTCTTAATTTGCTTGTTGGAAGGGAAACAAAAGGTGTGGTCATTAACTCTGGTGCAATCAAAATAAACGGGGAAAAAGCATCAAAGTTTTTGCGAAGAAAAATTGGTTATGTTTTACAAGAAGACATATTTTTTTCAAATCTAACAGTGCGTCAGTCATTAGAAGTATGTTTTAACTTTTAATTTTATTTAACTTTTTAGGTTTAAACGTTGCATTAGCCTGATACAGAGGGTAGTTAAAAGGTGGGTAAAAAGAACAATATAACCTATGCTAATATTCCGCTTGAGTCTAACTATAGTTACGTGAATATAAACTGACTTGTATAAATCAAAGAACTATAATGATATAATCAAAGAAGTAGTATGTTACTGGAAGCCGGTATAATGAACTTTGTTGCACCCATTAATTGACAATTCAATAAATTTGTTTAAAATATTTTATTGATAAATATTTACCTCAATTATCGAAATTACTTTTGACAACTTTCTAGATTTGTGCAAAATGTTACCCTTTAAAAAATATTGTTATATTTTGGCTATTTCAAAGTCAAACTATTTTAAACGTACCTTTTATTTAAAAGAGCTGCTTGACAAATATTAGTTATAATTAATTAGTTAAAAGTTTAATTACCTCATTATCTAAATCTGCATCAACAAATTTTGTTTTGGAAGCTAAATAAGTGCGAATTTCATAAGTGCAAACTGGCATATGTGCAAATTGGTATAAGTGCGCTAAAATAATTTGTAAACATTGGCATAACTGCAAACTAGAACTGGCTTTAGTGAGAAATGGCATAAGTGCTAATTGGCATAAACACGCCGAATAAAACTGCAAACATTGGCATAAGTGCAAACTGGCATAAATGCGAATCGGCATAAGTGCGCCGAATAAAGTTGCAAATATTAACATAAGTGCAAATTGGAACTTCGCACTTATCCTAATTCGTACTTATGCGCAGTCGGATAAAACCGTGTTTATTGTTCCAATATTACTTATTTAATGTTTTTTATTAGAACTGTTATATTTTAGTTATACAAACTATATATAAAAAATACCAACCTCATCTTTATTGCTAAAAAACTTAAAAATCTATGTAAAAAGTTTTTTTTTGTATTTACCATTAAAAATTACGAATTGGATTTGTCTTTATTCTATTACGTAGAATTTTCGCAAATAAAAAGTTGAACAACACCTGAAAGGATTTTTTTTTTTTACTGATGAAACAGTTTTTCTATAAGATAAAATAATTAGTTCAGATGTACATAAAAGTCTTTTCACTACATCTTCATTTGTCTTTATTCTTGAATTTATACGGGAATTATGTTCCTTATATTATCTTAATTCTTATTTTTTAGTTTCTCGAGCGTCTTCGCTATATTGACCAATTAGCAATAATAGACTTTCATGGTCCATGAATTAAAATCTTGTGAAAACTCTGACGCATGTAATACCAGTTGTAAAAACATGAATAGAGCTTTCCGGTCTCCTGAAAAAATAAGCAAAACTCACTAGTAACTATTTGAAATCCACATGATTTACAAATTAAGATTGTGTGCAATTTTACAATTAGTTCTTTATTTATTTCTGTATTATCGACAAATTCATCTTTATTTGAACTGGTTTTTCGAGCACTATTGCCGTCATTTGTATTTTTAGATCCTCCACATTTTGGGTAGTCAACAACAAGTCTGTTTTTTTAGAATCCTTTTTTTATATTAATTTTTTGTTATTTAACAAGAGCCTTCTCTGCGTCACCTCTTGCTTGCCATTTAATTGAATAATATCTTATATGAAATATGAATGATACATTCAAAAATCTTATCCATGAATGAAGTGTAGAAAATTCATTTTGAAGCCGGTGAAGCTTAGCCGGTGAATAAGGAAGTTTTATAACTTTGTCAATGTTGTTCATGTTTTTTGGTAAACATCCACATATACAGCAACATTGACTAGAGCTTGTTACATTCGATAAGACAGTATGAATTTTGCCATTTATCATTGTAACCTGAATGATATGTTTGACTAAAATAGACTTGCCATCAGTAGAAACTAGACTTGCAATCTAGTAGAAACTAGACTTGCAATCTAAGAAACTAGACTTGCAATCTAGTAGAAACTAGACTTGCAATCTAGTAGAAACTAGACTTGCAATCTAGTAGAAACTAGACTTGCAACCTAGTAGAAACTAGACTTGCAATCTAGTAAAAACTTGTTTTCATAACTGAAAACAAGTTTCTACTAGATTAAAGATCTCATCTTTTAAAGTAGCTTCTTCAATGAAAAATAAATTAGTTGTTTCTTTTTCAAGTTTAAATCTTAAAAGTCGAAATCTTAAGTCGAAAAATAAAAAAAAAAGTTTAAATCTACAAAAGTTTTGATGATTTTATACTGTTTGATGAGTGTTTTTTTTGAAATTTGGTAATGCGTCTATACTTAGTTCTCGAAGAACACTTTTAAAAGTCAGTAATTAGTCGTCAACCAGTGCTAGAAGAAGATGAAAAGTTTGCATTTAATATAGTTAAATTTATTTATTATCAAGCCATTTAGCATTGTTCTTAATAAATAAAGATGATATCTGTAAATGAAATATATGTAATATCTGTAATTGCGTAGACAGCATTTACAGACGTTAGAGCGCTATTTAAGATGTGCTAAAATGTTCATAAGTCTTGATCTCCTAACAACGTCATAGTTCTGATCAAATGGCAACTTAAAGAATGTTAGCAAATGACAGTTTGATTTTCTCTTGAATGGAAATGTTATTATCTCTTAAAGAAATGTAAACATTAAAATATTTCATCTAAAAACAAAGTTAAATTGTTTTTTTTTCCGGATAAACATCTATAAAAAATATCAGTACATAAACTAAATGTAGTTACATAAGATATACTGAAAAGGTTAGAAAAATTTCAAGATTTATTTGTTAGATTTAAGGTAGGGGGGGGGGGGGAGAAAAGGCAACAACAATCACCTTACGTAGAACAAAAAAGTTATTTTATTGAAACCATTGGTAAATAAAGAAATTGTTTTGTATTTGTATTTACACAATTTGCATAATTGGTTTGCAGCTAAAATGTTTTTACAAATATTATAGATTTAAGAACTTAATAAAAACGCGTTTATGCAATAACTATTATGAATCAAATATGATTTACTTGTAACAACCTTATTTATTAGAAAAATTTGCAAAATATTTATGATGCATGGTTAATTACTAATATTGAGCGATTAGTTTACTCAATCAAATGTTTGTAGGATATTGAAGAATAGTTTATTTGATACTTAATAGTAAAGGTTTGTAGCAAAAAAAAAAAACAATTCTGAAAACTGTTAACTGTCTCGTCCGCACCCGAGAAAACCGCAACATTCCTGTGAAAGCTTATGACCATGGGATTCCAAAAATGTAAACATTCAAACCATCTGCCTACGTCCGTGAAAGAAAATCAATTTTGAAAATTTCCCTAATTACAAATTTATGTGAAATGACATAAATGTTAAAAACTTCTAACAAAGGTAAAATATAGATTTTGGCAATATAATTTTTTTAATTTCAAATTGACAAATTTCAGGAAAGGGCACTTTTTCAAAGAAACTAAATCTGTGAAGGTTGCATTTTTGAGTCTCTTAAGAAAAAAACGAAATAATGCCCAAATAAACTAGGAATCATGATGAAGACAGGAAAGTTGTTTGCCTCCTGTGTCTCAAAAAGGCAAAAAGGCATCTGAGCTATCCCGCGTGGTGGGATAGCTCAGATAGTTAGAGCGATAAAGGAAAAGTTAAAACCCGGACTGTTGAACGATACGAGTTCAAATCCCGCCACCGCCAACTCAGCGCTTGAGTAGCACTTAGGTACGCAAAAATGTTGGTCAATAACGGACGCTACTTTGGATTAGTCTTAATGACTATTTGTGGCTGTTCCTATGCTAAGCCAACAATATCTTCGGATATATAAACATTGTATAGAAAAATATAGCATGAAAACTCAAATAAATAAAAATAAAAAAATAAAAAATAAACAAACAGACAGCTCACAACGTTTTTGCATGAAAAAATTCAACAAGTCTACAGAAAACAACTCAATTTTGAAGATGTAAGAGTACCGCAAGGGCTGTGTGAAACTTGTAGAACTGCTCTGAGGAAACGTTATGAAGGACATCCTGGTGAATTACCAGCTCTTTTTGACTTTAAAACTATCATTGTCAAACCACTCACAAGAAGAAATCCTTGTGAATGCTTGATTTGTCGCATTGGCCGGTTGAAATTGACTGAAAAGCACCCTCTTGACGCTGACACGAAAGAAGAAAAGATTTCTGACAAAAGGTGCTCAAAATGTCTCACTAATTAGTAAGGAATTGCCACATCAATGCTCTGTATCACAGTTTAGAGAGAATATAAGATCTCTGGCAGCCAATGGTGGTAAAGTTGCGGAACAGATTGCATCTTTAACAATCACAAGCAAGGATGCATCTCCACATGGAACAGTTTGACTTTCACAAACCAAGGGTGGGAGAGCATTGCCTATAACTCCAGGTAAACATATGGTTACATCATTTAAGTAAAAAATCTTGAAGAGAGCTTTACTTAGATCACAGCGGCATTTACAAACGCAGACAAAACAACTTCAAATTACATTGTTACACATTGCAAGAGTCTCAATAGTCTTATTAAAAATTTACTTTTGACACGGAAGGTTTTTTCAAACCACGTCATTAAATTGGGGATCGATGGCGGTGGAGGATTCTTAAAAGTCTGACTCGGAGTTTGTGAATTGGACCCAGAGATGCAAAGTGAAGCTTCACCTCTAAGCAAACGCTTGCTTACATCACAAGCATCAAAGGATACAGGAGTGAAAAAACAACTTCTTGTGGCTGTGGCTGAAGGAGTTCAAGAAAATTACAACAATGTGAAAGTCATTCTTTCCCTTCTCGACATTCAAGAGGTCAATTTTGTTATCTCTTGTGACATGAAATTGGCTAACATCCTGTGCGGTCTGCAGGATTATTCATCCTGTCATCCATGTACATGGTGCACAGCGGAAAGTTCTAATCTTGCGAATTGTGGTACTCCAAGAACTTTTGGCTCTCTGAAGCAGTCATTCCATGCGTTCTCTGCAGCAGGTTCAAATACCAAAAATGCAAAGAAATTCGGAAACGTGGTTCATGAGCCTGTTCTTTTACTCGAAGATTCTACATTGGTAATTGATCTAATACCTCCAATGGAGTTGCATCTACTTCTTGGAGTGGTCAATCATCTGTTTAAGATTCTGAAAGGTTCATGGTTAAAGGCAGATGAATGGCTTCAAGCATTGCATATACAACATCAACCCTTTCATGGTGGACAATTTGAAGGAAATTCCTGCAATAAGTTGCTGAAGAACTTGGATCTTTTGCAAACATTGGCTGAAAAAGGCAATGCTTTTCAAGTTTTTCCCATCATTGAAACTTTTCGAAAATTTGCAAATGTTGTATCATCCTGTTTTTGCAACAAGTTGCAGAGTCTGTTTGAAGAAAAAATTGATAAGTTTCGAGCTTCTTTCCTTGCATTACCAATTGGAACTGTCACACCAAAAACATATGCTGTGTTTTTCCATATAAAGGAATTTATCCTAAGGAAAAAGATGCCACTTGGTATTTATAGCGAACAAACAACAGAAGTAATGCACCATTGCTTTAGTACAAATTGGGTAAGGTACAAATGCCCAATCAGTCATCCAGAATATGGAAAAAGGCTTGTGATGTGCCTTGTTAATTTTAACAGCAAGAATCTTTGAAGAAAACACTGAGCATAAAATAAATAGAATTGGAGATTTATGAATAAATTATGTTGACCTTACATTAGAAATATTTATGTGAGAACAGAATGTACCTTTTTATCCCTTTAGAATAATTTTTTTTTACATATACGTGTAAGAAAGGAAAATTTCAAAATTGATTTTCTTTCACGGACGTAGGTAGATGCTTTTAATTTTTACATTTTTGGAATCCCATGGTCATAAGCTTTCACGTCAAACTGTTTTGAAAAGTCTGGAAGAAAAAAAAAATGTTAATTTAAATAATATAATCTAAAATAATACACAATTAAATTAGTTTAAAACAATAGCAGCCTAAAAAAGTTGATAATTAAAAAATCGCAAAACAGCGTTTTAAATCTCAAGTCAAATTCACGTGTAAATTACTGCATAAAATAACATTTTAATTAATATTAAATGTTTTTTGACTAGATATTTTCTCTAATAATCATGTTTTCATCATTATTCAGCATACAACGCCGACAATTATTTTTTGTACTTTGGCACACTCTGTCTTACTGTGTCATGCCAAGTTAACAAATTCTTTTGGAGCAGCAATTACTGTTTGCACTTACTCCGTTCGCACTTATGAAAATTGCGCTTATTCAGGCTGTCTTTTTGAAGGCGATTGATGTCAATAATGGACTGAACGGTTCAACAGAAAATAGTTTTTATTTTCAAAGGTTTTTTAATATTTTATTTTTTATGATATAATCTTTTAATTCACACGTTGTAAAACAGCGCAATATAGTCCTCCAAAGATATACCTTAAACATAGATTAATTAGTTAAATTTTTTTGTAACAGCACTTTATACTTTTAAGACTTTACCTCAGACATCGTAACCATGAAATAGTAGTGTCGTATTAATTGGCGGCTTTGTTCCGTAGAGTCAGAAACTTTGTAAATAATAATTTCCTTAAAAAATAACATTAGTCAATAATAATAAAAAATTATTATTTTTTAAGGAACAACTGTTTTGTTATATATAAATGTATTTTTAGTTTGTAGGAAAAATTAGACTTCCAGATTTTATGAAATGGAAAGAAAAGTTATCAATAATAAATGAAGTTATAAACAATCTGGGATTAAAGAAATGCGAAAATACAAGTAGATTTTTTTTCTTTCTATAACCTATTTTATTTGCTTTGTGATATATTGTGTTGTTTTTTTATTTATATCAACCATGCACTTTCTTATGTTTAAATCTATTATGTTAATAGTTATATCAGATCTAAAATTCTGGATCTTAGACTCAACTTTATAACAAATATAAATTTAATGATAATTATAAAACTAAAAATGGGGAAAATAAATACTTTTAAATAATATTTAATAATTGTCTGATTTTTAGTTTTTATCTTTGTTATCAATATAAAAATTATTTTCTAGTTTGTCATTATTTAAGTTTTTACTAATATATCTCAACATGCCAAATAAAAGTTATCTTTTTATGTACCATAGTTTTGCAGCAACCATTAAAACTACGTTTAACGTAGTTTTAATGGTTGCTGCAAAACTATGGTACATAAAAAGGTACATAAAGCACTAATAGTGCTTTACGAATTTTAATTTAACAATTTTTATTTCAACGTCCATGAAAAAATCCAAGTGAAAAAGCAGGGTTGCTACTCAACCGGGAAAACCTGGAATACCTGGAAATGCATGAATCCCAGGGAAAACCTGGAAAACTCAGGGATTTTTTTAAAATTTTCATAAAATTCAGGGAAAACTCTGGGAAAATAATTTTTTTTTGAAATTTTGTACAATAATGTTCTTTACTCAGGGAATACTCAGGGAAAACTCAGGGAAAAACTGTAAAAGTTATAGTGGCAACCCTGAAAAGGCCAAACCACTGCTAGTGCACCAGCAGAATTTATATATGCAAATTACATACCTAATATTAATATATTACCTTTATATAACATACATTATATATATTTAACCCTATTATTAGCCACAATTGGTCTTTTTCATTAGCACATCGCTAATACACAGGTGGAAACTTTTCCAAACATAGTTGCTTAACACATGTTTTATTACACAGTTTGCACTGATAGCTAACTTATTGCTGGCAAATAGCATCACAACCATGACCATCTATTCTTACAGGTCTTGTAAACACGTAACTTGGAGTCTGGTAACAATTATAAACAAAAAAACACTAGAATCTTTGAGTTTAATAATAAGTATTTTTGTTCATAAATAAAGTGTTTATAAATAAATCATATCAAATGTTTAACTAAAGGCTTAGTTCTAGACTAAAGTAATTGAGAAAAAATTAATACATCTTGTGTCAAATAACTTACAGACAATACAAGATTTTTCTCTGGATTAAAGTCATAAAATTTTGCTCTAGATCCATACACTATGGTTTTATCCCACTTCTTTTTAAATTTGCATAAATTTGCTTCCCTAAACTTTATAAATGTTATAATTTGTAATTTAACTTTAATAATAAACTAAAAATGGAGATATCACTCAATTAGACAAAGTTAAGGGCTATTTCCAAGTTTTTGTGTTAAGGTACTAAATCAATATCATCAGCACTGTAGAACTTTATTGTTGATTTTTTTAAAAATCTTACTCACTCCCAACAAGGCTGCAAGTAACCGCTATTAAGTTAGGACTTACTAGAGAATAAAGAATAGAGTTAAAGAGCAAGGAAACTGATGGCAGAACACTTGAAAAGTTGTAGGTTTTATGAGTCAGGTTCCAAATGATTGAAGTATGGGGATTAAAACTAGACAAAAGTTTTTTGAGCATACAGGACAGACACAGTAGAAAGGATGCAACTTAGCTGAATGATGAGTAGAGGGAAAATGAGTTTTGGTTGATGGAACTAAAGATAATAGCTTCTTTAAGTAGCGACTATGGTGCAAGTATTTGTAGAAATAAGAAAGAGATGCAATATTATGATGTCAAAAAAGAGATTCAAGCCTGCCATATAGAGTAGGTCCAACTACATTTATAATCCATTTTTTGACTTGTCTAGAAGAGAAAGAGCGTCATTAGAAGAACTAGTCCAAATATGACAACAGTATAATATAAGGACAAATAAGAGATTTGTAGAGGTAGAGAATGGAATCAGGCGAAGTATAATGGTGAGCACCATAAAGAGGAGTAATCTTAGAACATGCTAATTTTGCAATTGAATGTATATATGGTTTCCATGAAATATCAGTATTAAACGATTTGCCAAGAAGATGTAAAGAAGAGGACTCAGTGAGCTGCTTGCCATTTCTCAATATAGGAACATCAACAGTATTGCAATAGTTGTTTGCAGTAATTGTGGTAGTGGTATAGTGGTAGAGTGCTTGCCTTATAAGCAAGAAGTTCCAAGTTCGATACCCACCATGTTCCTGGTAGTACCATACTCAACTTAATTCTCTGCGCAGCGACCTTGTTTTCAAGGTTTGTGTTTTGGAGTTAAAGGGTTGAGAGAGGGTTGTAACCACAATTAAAGTAGCCTCCTTGACTGCAGCAGCCTTAATGGCCTTAGGGAGGTGAATTAACATTTAAAATAATAAATTAAAAACTGATTTTTGTTGATGCTAAAATTCACAAACCCCAAGCTGTTACAGAAGTGAGATCCGATTAAAGATCGGCTGCCTATTCTAATCAACCGAAAAGAGAAGATTTTTTCTTGAGATAGGAGTATAAAATAAGTCATCAGGAAAATTTTTAATGTAGATTAGAAACAAAACAGAATCAAGTATAGAGCCTTGAGGTACCCTAGAAGTTACTGGAAATGAAGAAGAGTGTAGCCAACAAAGATGACTTTAATAAAGCGGTTAGAAAGAAATGATTTTACTCAAAGATCTTGCTAATAGCAGATAAAATACTTAACTGATAATAGTTTGAGGGGTCAGAATGTTCACTACTTTTGTAAGACTATGATAGGAATGTTGTCTGGACCATAAGCTGTAGAAGAGTTTAATTGAGATATGACTTTAGCAACAGAAGCTGGAGTAATTTGAATGTCTACCAATGGGTTAACCTGTTTAACTGATATAGAAGAAAGAGTATGGCCGCAAGATTCATGAGTTGAATTAGAAGAAAAGTTCTTTGCAAATAGTTCAGTCTTATCATTGGGAGAGGTATAAGATCAGTCCCGTGAATTAGACATGTCAGACCTTAATGTTGAAGATTTACCAAAAACCTCTAGAGGCTTTTTTCTGAGTTATATATATATTTTTATTATTATTTATTTTATTATATATATATATTTATATATATATATATATATATATATATATATATATATATATATATATATATATATATATATATATATATATATATATATATATATATATATATATATATATATATATATATATATATATACGTATATATATATATATATATGTATAAATATATATATATATAAATTTATACATATATATATATATATATATATATATATATATATATATATATATATATATATATATATATGTATATATATATATATATAAATTTATACATATATATATATATATATATATATATATATATATATATATATATATATATATATATATATATATATATATATATATATATATATATATAATGCGGTAGTGGTGTAGTGGTAAAGCGCTTGCTTCATAAATGAGTGGTTTGGAGTTCGATCCCCACCACGTCCCTGGTAGTACCGCGCTCAACTTGTTTCTCCTCGCAGCGGCCTTGTTCGTCAAGGTTCGTGTTTCAGAGTTATAGAGTTGAGAGAGGGTTATAGCCACAAAATAAGTAGCCTCCTGGTCTGTAGTGGCCTCCTCGGCCTTGAGGAGGTGAAGTAAAATAAAATATATATATATATATATATATATATATATATATATATATATATATATATATATATATGTATATATATACATGTTTATTTTTTTTTTAGTACTGGGCGGAGATCTTTTTAATCCAGGATGCTCAGGAGGTAATAATTAATGTTGTTAGCTTGTTAGTTAGTTACATTGCTTACAATTAATTAAAAACCATGTTTATTTTACTAATAGGTGAAAAAAAACGGTGCAGTATAGCAGTTGAACTCATTAGGAACCCAGCATGTATAATTATGGATGTAAGATTGCACATTCTAAGTAGTAGCATATTCATGAGTGGTTTACAGGTTTAATCTCTAAAAAACCCATGGTTGTTTAAAGGTTAAACCTTATTGAATCTGATTAAAATTCTGATTCTAAATTAAAATTTTAAAATTTTACTAAAATCTTGTAAAAAGATTTTATTTTAAATTAAATTTTAAATTTAAATTTTGTTTTAAATTTTTTAACAACGTCAATTTCTTTGGTTAAACACATAGATGTGCAAATTTTATAGAGAAGCAGAGACTTTTAAATCAAATGTAGTTATTGAATATCATTTAGGAACCAACATCAGGTTTGGATTCATCAACTGCGCTGGGACTTATAAAAACTTTAAAAGCGCTTGCAAAGAATGAAAACCGAGCAATTTGTATGACTATTCACCAGCCTTCTAGCCATGTGTTTCATATGTTTGATAAACTGTTACTTTTATGCAATGGAAAGGTCTGAATATATATATTTTTTCTAATTTTCATATATTGTATTTAAATGGCACTAAATATACAAACAATTTTTTATTTTCAAATTTAAAATGTTTATAGGTGGTATCTAGGGCTTAAAGATTTTTTTGTGTGCATTTGACAAACATTGAAAAATTTCTAAAAATCTTACACTAGATTGAACAATATAAACCAATTATTTTTTATATTATTTATTTTATAACTTTATCTATTTATTAGTTAAAATTTGAATCATCAATATATTTGTGTTTATCTCAAGAAATTTTGACTGATAAAAGTTCTGGGCCAGAGGCTTATAGATTGCACGCAATAAAAACAGTTTTAATTTCACTTTAAGGTTATTGGGTACTATATCCGCCAAATCACACTCTTTTATTGTGGGTTCTAGTTGTTTGCAATGACCATTTTGTGATTCTATTGTATATAAATGGTTATTTGTTATTTGTTTTTTTTTTTGCCCATGTGCATAACTTTGCATTTTTCAATGTTAAATGGCTGCCATTTAACATTGAAAAATGCAAAGTTATGCACATGGGCATGCCAGGCATGATTCATTTTTTAGACCACTTAACAGCTGTGTCAAGATCTTTTTAGTTATAAATTTTTCTGAAACCAATACCATACATGCATTTTTGCTATTATGAATAAATATTTGCTGCGTTTCAGCGTTTGAAAAATTATATATTAAACACATTAATCTCCTGCTGAAAATTTACATGTCTACAAATTAGCTGTGAAATAGCACTTGTTAGCACTGTGATAGTATATTAAAGTGGGTAAATAGCAAAGGAACATATTGAGCATGTTGCTGGTACTTAGAACAACCTCTATTATATGCCAAGTTAATATGTTAATTATTTTTTATATTGCAATGTTAACATTTTTTTTAATATTTTATTTTCCATGTTATTTATTACTTTTATTAATTATATTATATTAGAATTATGAAATAATATTACACTAAAACTAGCTCTTAGGTACAATATGGATCATTGTAAGTCTGTTCCACACTTTATCTAAACTTGTTCTTAATTCGCACTCTTTACCCTGATAAATTTTAGTAAACGGCAGAAATTTAACTTATTTAACATTGTGGCTTGGTTAGCGATTAATTTTCTTTACTTTAAAACTTTTAAAAATTAACACATAATTTTTTTTACTATTTTCTGCATACCTGATGCTTAGTTAGAACCCTTAATTAGAAACCATATTCTTAAAGGTGTTAAAACCCTTGCATTGTTTATTTATTTTAAAAGAAAAGGTTTAAATGTATCATCTCCATGCTAAATTTTCTCTACTCTGTTAGATGACATGTTTACACAATTGGTTACATAAAGGGAATGCCCATAAATTATGCAACATTAAATATCACTAAAAAACATCTCTACACTAAATTGTCTTTATTCTGTTAGATGCACAGGTTTACCCAATTGATTACATAAGTTTTTTCCTTGCAAAGCCTTAAGTTAAATAAAAAATTTAAGTAACACATTAAGTCCATAATCACAAAACAGTAAATATCACTAATAAAACAAAAAAAGTTCAAAAGTTTTTTCCTTGCAAAGCCTTAAGTTAACTAAAGAATTAAAATAGCACATTAAGTCCATAATCACACAACAGTAAATATCACTAATAAAACAAAAAAAGTTCAAAAGTTTTTTCCTTGCAAAGCCTTAAGTTAAATCAAAAATTAAATTAGCACATTAAGTTAAGTATAAGTATTTTTAACATATGACAATATATGGACCCCTCGCACCCACTCTTCTACACATATATCCAGCAGTTTAAAAAGAGTTAATTTAAGCAAAAGCAAATATAGTCAAGATTTTAAATCAACTTTTCCCAAAATTATAAAAAGTAAAGCTAAAGTATTTACTAATTTAATTATTTTAAGTAAATATATATTTTTTTACAATTAGCCAAACATCTATTGTTAAAAAAGAACAAAATATCTTTAAAAAAAATTTATTCACCAACAAAATACAACAAAAATTCTAATTTTCAAAGAAGAGCAAAAAAATATATTTTAAAAACAAATTTATATTATTTACAATAACAATATATACAAAATAAAAAAAAAACAAAATATAAAAAGGTATATTAAAAAAGATTTAACTACATAGAACAAGTAGATTGACATTGCAAAAATACTTATTCTAGATGTGTCTATTTTTCCTTCTAAAGGAAAAATAGAATAATCTCCTTTGAAACATCACTCCTTTGAAATAAGAGATTCAGTCTTTACTGCCATTTTGGGCAGTTTTTTTGTTCTACGGTATGCTGAAAAAAGTCAATCATAAAATAAATCAAAAGTTAAAAAAAAAGCATTTATGATATGTAAGTATATAAGGAGTTAAGATATCTTATATAAACACTACATTGTTACCGCTTATGACAGGATTGGTATTTGTGCTTATTGCAGTTAACTGTAAAAACTGGTTTTGTAATGTTACCAGGAAACACAATTATTTTTATCTCATATTTGTAGAGTTCAAGTTTCTCCTTATCTGTTGACTTATGATTATCAAGTAAATTTCAAATCATGAAAATTTGATAAATTTAAACCATGCTTCAACAGTAGATAAACCAAAAAAAAAAAAAAAAAAAAAAACAGAAAAAAAAACAGTATTTTAGATATGCAAAAAGCATATATTAAAACAAAGAGTATAACACATCATAATTTGCATGAAATTATCTTAATGGTGTACCTGGAAATGCATGTTTGCTAACTTTAATAATACTTGAAAATAATGCAAGCAAATTTTTGGTATTAAGTTGCTTCAAGCTGGAGTAGATATGGAGTAGATAGATAAGCAAAAAATAGTTAACTTTAAAAAAAAAAGTTAACTATTTTTTAAAGTTAACTAGTTGCCATCTTATTATTCAGTTTGAAAAAGCAACATAAATAAACTGCTTTAAAGGTGCCATTTTTTTGTAGGATTACAAAGAAATGCATTTATTAGAAATAAACAAATGTAAACAAAACTTTTCAGCTTATTTTTTATATTTATTTTTTTCTGAGTTAAAGTTTTCAGGCTAAAAAATTAAATGTTAAATAAACTTAAACATAAAAAGTTCTAAATTTTTTTGATAACTGTCTATCTAAACCCAAACAAGTTTTTTTTTGATAGCTGTCAATCTAAACCCAAACATGTCTAAAAATTGTAAAAATTAAATTATTTACGTTATTTATTTAAAACAAAATAAATTATTTACGTTTCATTAAGCATAAAAATATATGGGAAAATGTTTTACTCTAACACTCATTTTAAAAATTCATTAATTATATTTCACTTGAGTTAATGTTGCAAAATAAATTAAATGTAAAAAATTAAAATTAAAATAAGATAGAATTGGAAAGACTTGCAATTTTTCACATTATAGTTTTTTGGTCTATATATATATATATATATATATATATATATATATATATATATATATATATATATATATATATATATATATATATATATATATATATATATATATATATATATATATATATATATATATATATATATATATATATATATACATATACATTTACATATACATATACATATACATATATATATATATATATATATATATATATATATATATATATATATATATATATATATATATATATATATATATATATATTAGGTTAAATGTGATTACGCAAAAACTTTTGACGTGAACGGACGTGCTTTTATAAACTTAATTGAAAATGACTAAATTTACTGTTTCTCAAATTAAAGACCTATTAGATATTCATGAGAATATTGAGCTATTGTACGTTGCGAATCTGCTCAGCACATGACTGCATCTTGAATTTGTACTGATTTATAGTTACCTGTAATTGTTCGATGTTTACATCAAATCTTACATGAAGATCCAAACATAGTTTGGAAAAAGTGTAAACCAAAATCAAAAACTTAGTGTTCCTCATAAAGAATCTATATTGCAATTTACATAAGAACACATGTCTTGGCAGGAACAGTGGCATCAAGTTCTCTTTAATGATGAAAAAAAAGTTCAATCTAGATGGTCCTGATAATTATCAATATTAATGGCACAATCTTCAAAAAGGGAAAGAAACTCTGATAAGTTGTAACTGGTGGTGGTGCTGTTATGGTTTGGGGAGCTTTTTCCATTGCTGAAAACATCTGCTTGCATGTATTTTAACAAAAATGAATTCACTGGGCTACATTGACTTACTAGAACTTAGTTTGATTGAACATGGTGAAAAATAAAGGTTTGACTTTTCAAAAAGACAATGCTACTATCCATAATTCAAAGCAAAAAAACTTGGTTTAGAGAAAAAAATATTCATGTAAATTCATGGCTCGCATTTATTTTTTTCATTTAATCTTTTCATTTATTTTTTTCTTAGCTTTTTCCTGTTGATGTTAATTTTGAAGCATTAAGTCATTTTTGTGTGTTTCAGTTTCAGTTTCAGAATAATAGTTTTCTGAAAAACTATTATTCAGATATAAATTTAAACAAAGAAAAAAAAAAATTTTGACCATAATTGACTGTCAATTCCATGTATTAGCCAGTCAAATTGACCGCTCACCTTTGATTACTTATTTTCCACGCTGCCTAACACCTTAAAACATCTTTTATGATATAATTTTACAATGGTGTCAGCATTGATACTTTCAATGTTAATTGATTATTTTATATTTTCAATAATAATATGAATATTAATAACGCTACCATATATCTTTTTAAATAAAATATTTTGGGATAAATTTGTTCTATCAAGTCACAAACAAATTTTATCTTATTTTTTGAAAACTACTCTTATATCTAAATATTAAAAGTCTTTTTTTAGAAAGTTATCTAAATACTTTTTAAGCGGTATAATTTTTTGTAGCAGGTATAATTAAAAAAAAAACATAAGAAAAACTCATTGGTTTTTTGAAAAAAAATAAAGCCACAAGTAACAAAAACCTTTATTAATTAAGATACATGATATAGTTAAAAAAAACCAATACCATAAGTAAAAAAATTATAAGCCAAACTACTACTACTACTACTACTATTGGCTACTTTGTACCAACTATAGAGAGGGATAACGCTCTAGCGCCTGCTGCATGCGCGTATGAAAATATAATATAAACTAATCTATATAATATAATCTCATATATGTTGTTCAGCATCTATCAAATGTTTCTTGTCTGATTTTTATTGATAGGCTTCTAGACCGTTATTTTTTGTTGCGCCTATAGCCTATATATTCATCTACTCTTTGCTTTGCATTAAAATATATTTGTATTTTACCTTTTAATTTATTCCTTTCAATAACTATTTGTTTATTTTTACTTTACAAAGGTTACACGCTTTTTTTGTTTGTTTTTGTCTTTTTTATTGTCTGATTTATGCAAGATTGCATAATTCTTCTGAAAATAGCGTTAGAAAGCCACCACGCTATGCATTACAAGACAGGTAGACATCTATGTTGTAATTATTTTTACATTAATTACTGCTTTATTGCTAATTTTTATTTTAATTTTGTTTAATTGTATAAATAGTCAGATATTTTTTGTAAATATATTTATTTGTTACATTAGCCAATTATTTAGTGATTTTATCAGAACAAATGATAATCTTTGTTAATTTAGCAAGATCTGGAAGTATTTAACCCTATCATTTCCTTGCTATGCTGCTATACTAGTTTCTTTATTATTCTAATATTTTGAAAAAAAAACATTTATATTTATAAATATTTAGGTTGTATATTTTGGTAAAAATTCTGAAGTTTTAACATTTTTTCAAGCAATCGGAATGCCTTGCTATCCAAATTGGAATCCTGCAGATTTTATCAGTAATTTTTTTTTGCATTTTTTAATAATGATTTAAAATGAATAATTAATCCAGTTGCATATATATATATATATATATATATATATATATATATATATATATATATATATATATATATATATATATATATATATATATATATATATATATATATATATATATATATATATATATTTATATTTATATATATATAATGTGTTACATTAATAGTGAAAATCTTTTAGTAGACCAGCTTACAATGTGTACTATGAAATATTTTATTATCAAGTCCTATCTATGTTTGAGTCAGGTTCTTAAAAAATATTTAGCATAAAAAATCAATGTTACCACCATATTGTTTCAATCTTTTACAATTATTCATAGTCTTAGATGTTTATTCAGCTATAAAATTTAAAAATTTAGAATGAAAAAATTTAACCTTATTACTTCTCTTAGTGATACTAATTGTAATTTGAATGTTTTTTCTTCAGATCTCAATGTTAGAGCAGGCATTTAAGCATTTATCCCTTTTTGTGTAGCTGCTATATCTGATTTTAATCTTTAATCTTTTTCACTAGACTCTTTTTTCCAGACTCTCTCACCAGAATAACTGGGATCAAATGTCTTTGTATTGTTGCAAGAAATTAATCCAAATTGATACTGTACAATTCTAAAAAGTCTGATATTCTCTAATTACTAAATCTCAGAAGTTTCCAAATCTTTTTGAAATTCTTTCATAGTATCATTAACCAAAGTAAGTCTATCTTACATGTCTGATCTTATTATTCTTCTGACATCAGAGGAACAGGTTAATATATTGTAGGGGCAGTGGCACAGTTTTATGGTTTTTGAGCAAACTATGTATTTATATGTTTATACTTATAACAAATCAAAGTCTAAACATTTATCATATCTTTGGTTTGAACAAAGTTTTTTTCACTGTTTTTAACTAAACTTATATTCATCAGTAAATTGAATTTCATATGATAATTTTTTTTTTTTGACATATTTTAATGACATCATTTCACTTTAGAAAAGATCTTTTTTTTTAAAAGAGAAATTTAAGTGGAACTGCTCTAAGTACGTAGCCTAAGTGAAGCCTCTCTAAGCCTAAGTGAAGCCTCTCTAAGCCTAAGTGAAGCATCTCTAAACCCTGCTCTAAGCTAAAGCTGTCTTACGATTATATTATTTTTCTTTTTTCTAGAAATATTTTCTACTTACCGAAACACAAATTTGCATGATTTATTATTCATTTAAGTTGGATCCATTTACCCTAATATTATCTGCATGCTCAAAAATTTAAATTTTTTTTTCTTTAACATTAATGAAATTCTGCTCTTTAACTCTCCTCATTACTTTTAACTTGAATAGTGTTTACTTTTAACCTTATCTCCTCTTTATTTTAACTTCTTACTTAAATAGTGGTTGCTTGCAACTTGTTGGAAGTGAGTTTATAAAAAAAAAGTTTTTTATGTTAGTGGACTGGTTTTCAAATGTTTATGTTTTAGTAAACTTACTTAAAAAAGTTTACTTTTAAATAAGTTATGTTTTAGGCCAATTGATAAAAATGAAAGCTTTTTTACTTTAGTGGATCAGCTCACAGCTCATATTGATGTTCAAAACAAGATTGCTGAAGGCTACATTACATTTAGAAAGTATTTATTTTTAGTTAACTTTTTTTTTAATGAATTATAATTTTCCAGGTTTAGTTTATTTGTTTATAGCTTATTTTGTGTCTCCTTCATTTGTTACTTCATGTTGATTTCTTTATTTATACTTTAGTTTAAAAATGCAACAATCTTAATTTTTCATTGTTTAATTAACCCTTATAGCCATAATCCAAATACTAACTGTTTCAATCAAGGTTTAAAAAATGGTTTTGTTAATGTATGCTTATACTAAAAATAGAAAACATGTAAACATGTTTTTTATTTTTAATTCTTTTAAATACATTAACTGCTACAAATTACTAATGCTACAATTAAGAATACTACATAAGGGGTCATTCATAAATTACTTTCATGCTCTGGGTAGGAGGGGCTATTAGTGATTTTGTGACGACTCATAGGGGGCTTGTTATATTATTGTGGCAAAGGGGGGAGGGGGTCAAAAACAGTCAAAAATTGTGTGATGTAATTTATAGTTTTTTAAACAAAGTCTTAGTATTTTTATTAAATGGCTCTTTTTAATACTCTGAGTATTAGCTTAGCTTCTTGAAAAATTTTAAAGTTGCAAATTGCAAGCTGAGTAAAGAAATTACCTGAAAGCAGAGTTGTAAGTCCTTGGCCTAGCCTTAAGGCCAAAAACTAAGGCTTTGGCCTTGGTCTTGGCCTTTAAAATTTGGTCTTGACCTTAAATATTTTGGTATTTGATTGTTTTGGCCTTGGCTTTAATTGTTTTGGCCTTGGCCTTCAAAAAAAAGGCAAAAAGTTAAAGAATTGAAAGTTTTCATTCTTTATTTTTATGTATTTTTGTTTTCGTTAATAATATCTACAAGTATATTTTCTTATTTACTTCAATATGTGGTTTTATTGTCACAGTAATTGTTAACTAAAGATTTGTTAATAATTGGCCTTAATGCAAGGCCAAAATTTATGTCTTTGGTCTTGAAAATGTTTGCTTAGGTCTTAGCATTGAAACTCTTATTTTTGGCCTTGACCTTAAAACTCTTGATGATGGCCTTGTAACTTTTGGCTTTGGTCTTGGCCTTGGCCTTATAACATGTGGCCTTGGCTTAGTAACATGTAGGCTTGACCTTGGGATTGCTACTTTTGGCCTTGTTAACAACTCTGCCTGAAAGCATTCATTTTGTTGAGTGCTTTTTTTGCATTAAAATGGCTAACTGTAATGGCTTTAATGCTTTCAATCTGGTTTTATATATGTTCTAAAAAAATAAAGTTTGTACTATCATAATATAGACAAAAATTTATTATTAGACCTGAATTTCATTTTATTTTTTCCTTATAGTAAATGAGTTACTGTGAACTCCACCTCCAAATTTGGTTGTTTTTTTTTGTGAAAAAACAGCCAGATTTTTTCTCTTTAATTTTATTATAAACTTCATAATAGATTAAAATGTTTCTCTTTACTTTATTTATTTGAACTTCTGGTTTAATTGTAGGTATTTGTAGTTTTTGTAGATGGCAGTGATTGCATTTGTTAGCAGGTAACATCCACTTTGCATAATTTATACAAATTAGATGTTTTGTCTGCTTGTGTTAGAGTTTTATGCAATCTACAAATGGATTTTTTTAAATCTTTTTTTCATATTATTATCTTAAGATATGTTTTTTACATTAACAAACTTTGTTTTAATTAAATTTTATTAAATTTTTTTGAAGAGCTGTGTCAAAGGCAAATTTTTTTTGGTTGCTGATACCTAGTTCATGACGCCGATGTTGCTGATACCTAGTTCTTGATACCAATATTGTTGATACCTAAAAAGATTGATACTGCAGACTAATACTTGAAAAAATCGTACTTAAAATAAATTAGGGCATTTTTTTCTTACACTACAAATAAAAATAATTACCCTACAAATAAAAATAATTTAATAATTAAATTAACTATTTTCATTGTTAAATTTGATAACCATAACATTTGACCATAATCTGCTGTTAAACATAAACAAACATTAACATTTCACCTGCTGTTAAACCATTTCCATTAAAAAAATTCTTGTAAGAATTTATATAGGATTCTAAAAATCAAAATGACTTGATTAAAATTTAATATAATATGATTAAAATATATATAAATATATATAAATATATATCAAAATCAAAATGACTTGATTAAAATTTAAATATATGATTAAAATATATATAAATATATATATATATATATATATATATATATATATATATATATATATATATATATATATATATACATATATATATATATATATATATATATATATATATATATATATATATATATATATATATATATATATATATATATATATATATATATATATATATATATATATATATATATATATATATATATATATATATATATATATATATATATATATATACAGTTATGGCCATTGAAATCCGACCACCAGTATCATTTTACTTCAAACTAGTATTATGTAGTAATAAACAATTGTGTTATAGCAATAAAAGAATAACAGTAGAAATTAATGATTATAATGTAACATATCGTACATATTTAATGTTTATATTAATGTTTTTCACTCTCAGGTTCATTGAATTTAATATTTAGTGGCACCACCATGTGCTTTTAAGACTGCATTAATGCGATCTGGCATTGAATCCACGAGAGCCTGACAATATTCTGGCGTTATTTCAGTAATCCAAGCTTGCTAAATTTTGTGCGCTAGATCGTCCAGTGATGTAGGATTAGTTCTGGATACTGCTGACTTTAACTTGACCTAGCAATTTTCGATTGGGTTCAAGTCTGGGGATGATCCCGGCCAAGGACCCAGAACCTGAATGTTGTGATCCTCTAACCAAGATTTTACAAGAAGAGATTGGTGACACGGTGCACCATCATGCTGGAATATCTCGCAACGACGAATTTCCATCAAATTTGGAACCTTTTCTTGAAGGATTTTTAGATATTGTTGGGAGTTAAAAGTCTGTCCCTTCTACATTAAATAAATACCACATCGACCAGATGAAGCTATCGCCCCCCACACCATGATTGAAGGGCATTGCTTGACAGCTGGTACGGTATACCTTGTATTAAAACGCTGATTATGGGGGCGACGAACTAATGACTTATGTGGAGCGAATTGCTTTATTTGTGTCTCGTCGCTGAACATTACCTGGCGCCATTTGGTTATTGACCAGTGTCTGTGAGCTCTACAAAATGCAATTCTATCATGGATGTTCTTTAAAGAAAGTCGTGGTTTGTGGTTTGAGTCGTGGTTGGACGACGAGAACGTAGACTTGCATCTTTCAATAAACGTCTTTTAATTGTTCGAGTGCTGACTGTAACGTCATTAGGTAGATCTGCCCTGATTTGTGTGCTGGATATTGTTGGATCTCTCACAGCAGCCCTGCTGTATCATATTGTCTGTTTGTTCGCTAGTAATTCTAGCTTTACCAAAACGCTTTCTGGGCGCAGTGGATCCTGTGTCTTTGATTAGTTGTATAATATCATGAACAGTAGATTTTGGCATTCGCAATCTTGCTGATATCTGACGCTCACTTGCACCATCCTCCCATAAAAGTTTAATATTAGCACGAACACCTTCCTTCGTAGTCATAATTAAATTGTGACAGTTAAATGATATGTAAAATGAAAATCAATGAGATATATAGCTTAATAAATTTTACAGTGCAATAAAATAAATGCTAATGTGATTGGCTAAAAGCTAATTAACTAATTATTGATGTCAGGAAATAAAATAAATTGATTATTCGCGTGCATAGACTGTTTTTCTTTATATTCAGCAGTGGTCAGATTTCAATGGCCATAACTGTATATATATATATATATATATATATATATATATATATATATATATATATATATATATATATATATATATATATATATATATATATATATATATATATATATATATATATATATTATATTATATTATATTATATTAAAATAATAATAAAATACAATTAATTTTGTAACATAACTCAGAGTTTCACGCTATATGCGATCATCAGACGTTACAAACAACCATAACAACAACAAAAATTATATACAAAAATACAATACAGTGTTAGCTTAGATGACGTTAAAGTTGCAGATAACAAATTTGTTTTCGTGGCGACATTTAGATATTAATTCATTTCGCTTATTTAATAGTTTTCAAAGGTGATGTAATGATATGATATTTTTCCGTTAAACAAAGGTTACATAACTTTCTTCCAGGTTTAAGAGGTTCTGCCCTATCAATAATTTTCCACGTAAGAATAGGATTTGAAAATCCCTTTTTTTTCATTTCCCAGATATATTTAGAAAGTTCTGTGGCATTAGCTTTACTTTCTTATTGAAAGGAGTTCTTATGCTTGTACCAGCGATCTTTAAAGGTGTGCTCTGTTAAACCAATATAATTTAAACCACTATCCTGTGGTGATGTTTTAACATTGCAGACGTAAATTATATTTTTACTAAGACACGTACCTTGCAAAGGACATTGTAAAGGTTGCCGGCAGTTACACGTTGGAACAATTGTGTTGGAAACATTAGATAATACTTTTTTATTGTGTGAGTTGATAATATTGGTGAAGTTTGGAAGACAACTATAACTGACTTTTAAATTATTTTTATTAAAAATTTTAAATTATTTTTATTAAAAATTTTTCAATTAGATTTAGAAAAGTTTTTGCGATGTTGGTTTTTACATTTTGCAAAAACGGAGGATTAAACCAATTAATGTTTCGTGATCTTGATTTTGGTTTTGGTGGGGTAAGATTTTTTTGAAAAGTAATCTTTTCATTGAACCCACTTGCTGCTAACGCATTGTTATAAAACGATGTTGCTCTATCGAAAACTTCTTTGCCAGATGAAATATTGCTAATACGGTTAGATATCATAGTTGGTATGGATTTAATAATACTAGGAGGGTGGTTAGAATTTACATTGATGTATAATGGGTGGTCACCTGGTTTTCTGTATGGCTGGAAAGTATTTTCTAACAGGTTGAAGGTAACATCAAGAAAGTTTACAACTTTTAAGTTGGTTTTAATAGTAAGTTTTAGATTAAATTTCTCCTTAAAAAGACGAACAATGTTTTTCTTTATTCTCTCGGATTGTGGTCCGTTAATTCCATGAAAACAACAAAGCCCATCATCTCTATATAATCCAACAGTTTTCAACCCATAGTCTTGACTTATAGTATGTAAAATAAAGAGTCCAACTAACTCACACACTTCAGCCCCATTGTAACTTCATAGTGACATCAAAATTAGGATCACCAAGTTTTTTGACCCAGATACTATTGTGTTCAGTAAACAGTAATGATTTTCTTGAGTGATTAATGTCTAATGTATTTTCTGAAACTTCTGTAAATTGCTTGGCGTGATTAAGTGAAATTTGAAGTAATTCTTTAGAGATAGAAGGGTAGAACTCTTCAATATCAAACTGGATGAAAGTGCAGTTGTGTTTGTCTTTAATATTGCGGAACCAATTTATTACGTCATCCGTCTTATGCCATTGATTTACAAGGGTGGTTTTTCTCACTTTATTGTTGATGTTTTCCAGTAAAATTTTACTAACTTTTCCAAGTTCTGGTTTAGATGGATTAATTAATCAACAAAGAAAGAAAAAGAAAGAAAATCGACAAAGAAAGAAAGAAAATTGACAAAGAAAGAAAAAATTCGAATTAGTGATCAAACGTATAAGATAGAAAGCCTTAATTTGCGAGAAAAATCTGAACCAAGAACCAGATTACCACTTTAATTTTAAAACAAGAAAATGTCCACCGCAACACCCGGATCTAGTCCAAAGTTTTTCAATGGGATTAAAATCTGGTGACTGTGCAGGCCAATCCATTATTTCAGTCCCCTATTTCACAAACAAGGTTTTTTGCCCTACAGCTGGTATGTTTTTGGTCATTTTCTTGCACAAAGACCTATTTTAGTCGTTTATCTTCTTCTGTATATGGGAATATTGTGTCTTGTAAAACTTTTAGATAAATATGTTGGTTTATAATTCCGTCTTTCTTATAGATGGGTACTACGCCATAATAAGAAAAATCCCAAATATTTATTTTCATCCACCGTATTTAACAGCTTTTAAAGTGCATTGTGGTTTGTAAGCAGAGTTAGTTGGCCTTCTTACATATACCCTGCATCCACTTGACCCAAATAAAGCAATTATTCTTTTATCAGACCACAAAATATTTTGCTAATTTAAAGTAGGCCAATCTTCATGTAATTTTATAAAATGCTTTTTTGCAACATGTCTTTTTTTTCAAAACTTGTACTTTTGGCAAATTATTTTTATTCTCATAATCGACTACCTAATGTTCTAGTAGAAACTCTTAAATTTAAATCATCTTTAATTTGGATGGAAGATACAAATAACAGCATAATCAACAGCAGTATCTTTTATTAATTGGTCTGTATGTTCAGTTGTATTTCTTTACAACTGAGCATAAGACCTCTTACAACAGCCCCTTGATTCATCAACTATTTTCCATATTAATGCATTTCTAATCATCATAGAAAAACAAAATGTCTTTTAAATAAATTCATGTTTTCTCCTTTTGATTTAATTTTACAATCGGTTTTCTTTTTTCTTCACTACAATGCTTCCTACAGCCCATAATTTCTGTTTAAATAAAATAAAACTTACCA